AATATTTCTGGGTGTCTGCAACAGATTAAGTGTATTTACATTATTTTTTATGGGGAAAAAGGTTTCGAAAATTGTCAATTTCGATAACAGTCACACTCTCTGGAACGAATTAATTATGAAAAACGAGGGTCCACTGTAATTCCACTGTAATTCTTCTGAGATCTCTCAATCACATTCTCAAGGAATACATAAGAGCATAAAAAATGAGGAACACTGCAGCAGGCCTGTTGGCCCATACTAGGCAGGTCCTTTACAATCCTTCCCACTAACAAAATATTTGCCCAACCCAATTTTCAATGCTACCCAAGAGGTAAGTTTTGATGATTTTATTTACTCATTGCTTAAATCTAACCCCTCTCACTCATATATTTATCTAACCTAAATTTGAAACTACACAACGTTCCACTCATCAACTACCCTATTTCCAAACCAATACTTTCCTATATCCTTTCGAAATCTAAACTTAACTAATTTGAATCCATTATTGCAAGTTCTTTCTTGAAGGGATATCCTAAAAACCTTATTTATATCCCCTTTGTTAATACCCATCTTCCACTTATACACTTCGATCATGTCTCCCCTCATTCTTCATCTTACAAGTGAATGTAGTTTAAGAGTCTTCAATCATTCTTCGTACGGAAGATTTCTAATGCTATGTATTAATTTGGTCATTCTACGCTGGATGTTTTCTAGGGAATTTATATCCATTCTGTAATATGGAGACCAGAACTGAGCTGCGTAATCTAGGTGAGACCTTACTAATGATGTATAAAGCTGTAAAATAACCGCTGGACTTCTGTTGCTTACACTTCTAGATATAAATCCCATTAATCTGTTTGCTTTGTTACGTATGCTTAGGCACTGCTGTCTTGGTTTAAGGTTGCTGCTTACCATAACCCCTAGATCCTTTTCGCACTCCGTATGGCTAAGCTCTACGTTATTTATCTGATAAGTACTAGGGTTATGAACACTCCCGAGCTTCAAAACCTTGCATTTATCTTCATTGAACTACATTTGCCACTTTTCTGACCAGGAACTGAGTTTGTCTAAATCCTCCTGAAGTTCCGTGACATTTACGTTTGAATCAATTATCCTACCTATCTTTGTGTCATCGGCGAATTTGCTCATATCATTAGTAATTCCCTCATCAAGGTCATTGATATATATTATAAACAACAACAGGCCCAAGACTGATTCCTGTGGAACGCCACTTGTTACAGATCCCCACTCGGATTTAGCCCCATTTAAGCATTTATGGATTTGGAAAAGGCGTATGAGAGGGTGGATAGGGGGGCAATGTGGCAGATGTTGCAAGTGTATGGTGTAGGAGGTAGGTTACTGAAAGCAGTGAAGAGTTTTTACGAGGATAGTGAGGCTCAAGTTAGAGTATGTAGGAAAGAGGGAAATTTTTTCCCAGTAAAAGTAGGCCTTAGACAAGGATGTGTGATGTCACCGTGGTTGTTTAATATATTTATAGATGGGGTTGTAAGAGAAGTAAATGCGAGGGTCTTGGCAAGAGGCGTGGAGTTAAAAGATAAAGAATCACACACAAAGTGGGAGTTGTCACAGCTGCTCTTTGCTGATGACACTGTGCTCTTGGGAGATTCTGAATTTGGTAGGGTGTGCAAAAGAAGAAAATTAAAGGTGAATACAGGAAAGAGTAAGGTTATGAGGATAACAAAAAGATTAGGTGATGAAAGATTGAATATCAGATTGGAGGGAGAGAGTATGGAGGAGGTGAATGTATTCAGATATTTGGGAGTGGACGTGTCAGCAGATGGGTCTATGAAAGATAAGGTGAATCATAGAATTGATGAGGGGAAAAGAGTGAGTGGTGCACTTAGGAGTCTGTGGAGACAAAGAACTTTGTCCTTGGAGGCAAAGAGGGGAATGTATGAGAGTATATTTTTTACCAACGCTCTTATATGGGTGTGAAGCATGGGTGATGAATGTTGCAGCGAGGAGAAGGCTGGAGGCAGTGGAGATGTCATGTCTGAGAGCAATGTGTGGTGTGAATATAATGCAGAGAATTCGTAGTTTGGAAGTTAGGAGGAGGTGCGGGGATTACCAAAAACTGTTGTCCAGAGGGCTGAGGAAGGGTTGTTGAGGTGGTTCGGACATGTAGAGAGAATGGAGCGAAACAGAATGACTTCAAGAGTGTATCAGTCTGTAGTGGAAGGAAGGCGGGGTAGGGGTCGGCCTAGGAAAGGTTGGAGAGAGGGGGTAAAGGAGGTTTTGTGTGCGAGGGGCTTGGACTTCCAGCAGGCATGCGTGAGCGTGTTTGATAGGAGTGAATGGAGACAAATGGTTTTTAATACTTGACGTGCTGTTGGAGTGTGAGCAAAGTAACATTTATGAAGGGGTTCAGGGAAACCGGCAGGCCGGACTTGAGTCCTGGAGATGGGAAGTACAGTGCCTGCACTCTGAAGGAGGGGTGTTAATGTTGCAGTTTAAAAACTGTAGTGTAAAGCACCCCTCTGGCAAGACAGTGATGGAGTGAATGATGGTGAAAGTTTTTCTTTTTTGGGCCACCCTGCCTTGGTGGGAATCGGCCAGTGTGATAATAATAATAATTAAACATACATGTACTCTCTACTTCCTATTGGTGAGCCATGACTCGATCCATAACAGCACTTTTCCCCCAATGCCATGAGCTGCCACTTTCATTAACAGTCTCTGGTGTGGTACTCTATCAAAAGCCTTACTAAAATCTAAATAAATACAGTGGACCCTTGCCTTACGATCAGCTCCCAATGCGACCAATTATGTAAGTGTATTTATGTAAGTGCGTTTGTACGTGTATTTTTGGAGGTCTGAAACGGACTAATCTAATTCACAATATTCCTTATGGGAACAAATTTGTTCAGTAATGGCACCTGAACATACCTCTGGAATGAAATAATATCGTAAGGCGGGGGTCCACTGTAATATCGAATTCTTTATCATGATCAACGACCTCAAAAGCTTTACTGAAGAAGGTTAATAAATTAGTTAGGCAGGAACGGGCCCTCATGAATCCATGTTGAATATCATTAACCCTTAAACGGTCCAAACGTATATATACGTTCTCTCGTGCAGCGCCCTGAATATTTTGAGAAAAAAAAAATCATTTTTTTTATAGGAAAAAAGAGCATGTGGTACGCAGGCATCCCCAATTTTTTAATATGGCACACACTGAGTGCACACACCCATTCTCTCATGTCTAGGTGACCCAGGCATATCGTGCCAATGTTGAATGAATGACAAATGAAACATATATATACGTTTGGGGTGCTACGCGAGAGAACGTATGTATACGTTTGGACCGTTTAAAGGTTAATCAAGCTATGCTTATCAAGATGGCTTCTTATATTATCAGCTATAACTGACTCTAGTAATCTACCTACAATTGAGGTTAGGCTTATTGAGCAGTAATTTGATGTTACGTAACAACTTGTCCCCTGCTTTAAAAAATAGGAATTACATTAGCCATCTTCCACATATCAGACACAACACCTGTTTGAAGAGAAATATTAAAAAAATTAGTCAATGGTTCACAAAGTTCCATTTTACACTCTTTAAGAACCCTTGAAAAAAAGTTCATCAGGGCCCGGGGATTTATTTTGCTTTAACCGGTCTATCTGCTTGATAACCATTTCGCTAGTGATTGCGATACTGCATAATTTATCAACCTCAGGCCCACTATAAAAATTAATTACTGGGATATTGTTAGTGTCTTCCTGAGTGAAAACCGAGAGAAAATAATTATTAAGAATAGAGCACATCTCATTCTCCTTGTCAGTGAGATGCCCAGAGTTATTTTTAAGGGGACCTATCTTATCTCTAACTTTTGTTCTATAAACCTAGAAAAAACTTTTTGGGTTAGTTTTCAAATCCCTAGCAACTTTAATTTCATAGTCCCGTTTAGCTTTTCTTATCCCCTTTTTAACGTCCCTCTTAATGTCAATATATACTGATTCATAAGATGACCCTCACCTCTTTTGATACATCAATAAATTCCTTTTTTCTTTCCTAAAAGATATTTGAGACTATTATTCATCCATTTGGGGTCATTTCTATTCGATCTAATTTCCTTATATGGGATAAATGTCCTTTGGGCAGCATGTATTGTGTTAACAAAGCTGTCATACTGATAGCTCTCTTCGTTACCCCAGTCCACAGATGATGTGTTCTCTAAGCCCACTGTAATCTGCTAAGTGAAAATCTGGGACCTGAGAGACAACAAAAGTACAATTGACTCTTGAGTAACACAAGTGATAGCGTGAATGATGGTGAAAGTGTTTCTTTTTCAGATTACCTGAAAAATAAATAAATAAACACACATAAAGGAGGTTCTGGGTGCAAGGGCATAAATAAGCATGTTAGACAGGAGTGAGTGGAGATGAAATGGTTTTTGGGATTTGACAAGCTGTTGAAGTGTAAGCAGGGTAATATTTTGTGAAGGGATTCAGGAAAAACTGGTTAGCCAGACTTGAGTCCTGGAGGTGGTAAGTACAGTGCTTGCATTTTTAAGAAGTCTGGGATATATGCTATTTGGAATAACATCCAAACTGTCATATCTGCATGCCTCTGGAAAGATAATGACAGTGTGAATGATGGGCAAAGTGCCAGGAATTAAAAAAAAAACTAAAATAAAAATAAATTTGGTTATATATCTTTATCTCATCTCATCTCTCTCTCTCTCTCTCTCTCTCTCTCTCTCTCTCTCTCTCTCTCTCTCTCTCTCTCTCTCTCTCTCTCTCCTCTCTCCTCTCTCCTCTCTCTCTCCTGTATCTCTCCCCTGTATCTCTCCATATCTCTCTCCCCATATCTCTCCATGTCTCTCCATATCTCTCTCCCTCTCTCTCTCTCCTCTCTCTCTCTCCCTCTCCTCTCCCTCCTCTCTCTCTCTCTCCCTCTCTCTCTCTCCCCTCCCCCTCTCTCTCTCCCTCCCCCCCTCTCTCTCTCCCCCTCCCCCTCCTCCTCCCCTCCCCCCCCTCTCTCTCTCTCTCTCTACTTACCATATATTTCTGCAAAAGATTGGACCATTTTTTCCTAGCCTGTGTAGGTGTTATGACATTGGTCAGCCCAAGCTCATCAACGATCCGACTGTCACACAAGGACACAAAGTTAATAATAATATTAATGGCAAAAATTAAATTTTAAGCAACTTATTGATGTTGAACTCATCAAATATGAAAATTATTTTTATTAAGGTATAGCAATTACATAAGTACAGAATTTATATTAGTAGCAATATATAATACAGTACACAGCAGAGCTTTGTGTACAGCAGGACTTTACACACTGGGTTCTTTTAATAAAATGCTCTCAAAGTATGAATGCCTTAAAATTTAAGGCAGATAGAACAGAGATTTTCAAATCAGCCACCAGCCTGCCTTCTTACTAATTAACCAGTTGGTATTATTAATTGTTTTCACTGTACTGTACATGTATTATGAAAACAGATTACATAACATAAAAGGTGATATGAAAAAGACATGGAAAACCTTATCTGAAATTCTAGGATCTAAACAGATATCCCAAAACAGAACGATCAACCTAATGAAACCAGATGAACCTCTCCTCCAATCAACTGATACTGCCAACAAACTTAATGTCTTCTTCTAGACTGTAGGAATAAACCTAGCAAGCAGAATCCCAAACTCAAACATTCAACCAAAAGACTACCTCACTGGCAACTACCTAAATACTCTAACACCAACTAACTCTACTGAAATCTTGCTCATCATTAAAACTCTAAAGAACAAGACAGGAAACCTAAGTAACTTACCACCACTTGTGTACAAAAAAGCTTCTCGTGTACTGTCACCAATTATTGCAACTCTCTCTAACAAATCCATTGAATCTTCCACCTTCTCATCTATTTTCAAGACAGCAAGGGTTACCCCAATCCTCAAGGGAGGTAATCCAACTGATTTGAACAACTATAGGCCTATATCAAACTTGCCCCTTCTATCTAAAATCATTGAAAAATTAATTCACAAACAAGTCTACTCTTACTTAGTTTCCCACAACATACTCAACCCCAGTCAGTTTGGTTTCAGATCAAAAAAAAAGTACAAATAATGCAATTATACATATGCTAAAACTTATACGGCACTTGGAAAAAAAGAACTCCCCCCTGGGAATTTTCACTGACTTACGTAAAGTTTTTGATACAGTTGACCATGACCTATTGCATCAAGTTAGCTCATTATGGGATCAGAGGACACTCTCTCAATTACCTAAAATCCTATCTCAGCAACAGAAACCAGAATGTATACACAAATAGAGCTAACTCTACCACTCAACCTGTTCCTGTTGGTGCCTTGACCCAAATCTCTTTCTCATTTACATCAATGATCTACCAAATACATCTAAACTCCTCAAACCAATACTATTTGCAGATGACACTACTTATGTCTTCTCTCACCCAAATCCAACAATACTGACACTGTAAATGCCGAATTACTGAAAATATCTACTCGGATGACTACCAACAAACTTACTCTCAATATAGACAAAACCTACTTCATGCAATTTGGAAACAGAGCTTCAAATGTACAGCTTAACATAATGATAAATGGCTCACCCATCTCTAGACTCACAGAGGACAAATTTTTAAGCCTCCACCACGACAGTGGTCTCAAATTCCAGATACACATACAGCAAATTTCCAAGAAAGTCTCGAAAACAGTAGGCATCCTTTCAAAGATACGGTACTATGTGCCACAATCAGCTCTCCTTTCTCTGCACCACTCACTCATTTACCCTTACCTCACCTAAGGAATTTGTACATGGGGCTCAACCACAGCAAATCACCTCAAACCTTTAGTAACCCAACAAAAAACTGTGGTCCAATTGATTTCTAACTCCAGCACTAGACAGCATACTCCACCTCTATTCGAGAGTCTCAACCTGCTTAATATACAAGACATCCACACTTATTATTGTGCCTACTGCATACATAAAACACTGCACTCAAAATCTAAACCCTCCTCTTAAAATCCTCCTTGACAACTATAACAAAACACAATCATAATACAAGACACAAATGACTCTTTGATATCCCTCATGTCCATCTCTCCCTATGCAAAAATGTGATTCACATAAAGGGACCTAAGATCTGGAATTCATTGCCAGAGGACACTAAAGGACCCCTTCCTGCAAATCAATTTAAGGCTCAACTTAGAAATCATCTACTCACCCAAAATTAACCAGCCTAACCATACTCAATACCTACCAGTTACTCAAAGACTATAAAAAAAAACTTCTAAATAATATAAGTCTACTCAACTTTAACTTAATTCACCTCCACTACTATATACCGTGCTTACGATTACTCAACCATAAACTCGTTACTTCTAAATTAGATGCTTAAATTCTTTGCATAAATATTACTAAAATGTAATAATTATTAATTCCATTTAATTGTTTTAAATTATACTAAATTGCAATAATTTCATACTGTAAACTGTTTTTTTTTTTAAATTGTCCCATTGTAATACACCCATATTGTAAATTAATTCCACTTGTACCATTATTTGTAATAATGTCCATATAAATACAGTGGAACCCCAGCTTACAAACTTAATCCGTTCCATGACCATGTTCGTATCCTGATTTGCTTGTATGCCGAGTCAATTTTCCTCATTTAAATTAACTGAAATACAATTATTCTGTTCCAGCCTCTCAGGAGGTATGACAAAATAATGCTAACATCAACTTTACAGCTTAGTTATCTATCACAGTTCATCTAATATGACATAATAAACAATATTAATAACATAGAAACATGATGTATACTCTAGAATGAATAAAGCAGGCCCGGTGGCCTGGTGGCTAAAGCTCCTGCTTCACACACGGAGGGCCCGGGTTCGATTCCCGGCGGGTGGAAACATTTCGACACGTTTCCTTACACCTGTTGTCCTGTTCACCTAGCAGCAAATAGGTACCTGGGTGTTAGTCGACTGGTGTGGGTCGCATCCTGGGGGACAAGATTAAGGACCCCAATGGAAATAAGTTAGACAGTCCTCGATGACGCACTGACTTTCTTGGGTTATCCTGGGTGGCTAACCCTCCAGGGTTAAAAATCCGAACGAAATCTTATCTTAATATGGTGAGTGATGGCAACGCTGGCGGCAGTATCCTGCCGCCATTTACTCTCCCACTCTAGTATCTTCCCAGTCCATAACCCCACACCTAGCTTGTGTTTATCTATAATTAGTGGTGAGGTTGTCACATATGTAACCACAGGTGTGGTCAAGACAGATGTATATATAGGTGAAGACATGATCACTGTGGCCACAGTGGTGGTAGTGGTGGTGGTTTTGATGGGGGTGGTGGAGGTGGCAGCCACAGTGGTGGAGGTGGCAGCCACAGTGGTGGAGGTAGCAGCCACAGTGGTGGTGGTGGCCAGCTGCCTCACTCTCTGCTGCTGCTGCCTTCCTTTCTCTAGCTTTTTTCATAGTTTCTAATCGCTTCCTGAGCTTCTTGCTGATTGCACGCGAATACTGTCTCTTCGGGTGAGGCATTGTGTAAGAAATTTGTACAATATAAAACAAAATTACACATCCAAGGGTCTGCTGCGGTCACTCAGAGTGGCTCACCTCCCCCTCCTTTTGACCCTTTGTTGGCACTGAGATAGCTGTAGTCTAGCAGCTGTACCTACAGCCACCCAGAGGGTTACCAATTTGTATTTTGAAGCATTTGGCACAAAAATATGAAAAAAAATTACAAAAAATGTCTAAAAATGACAACATATTATTATTATTACTATACTGTATTATTAATTTTAAGCCTGCCCATAATGCTATGCATTCAAGTGGCTTTGGCATGCTGCATTTAACTGTATTCTTTTGTACTTCACTGTATCATGTTCAAATTAATAAATAAATAAATAAATAATTTTTTTTTATTATTATTAACACACTGGCCGATTCCCACCAAGGCAGGGTGGCCCGAAAAAGAAAAACTTTCACCATCATTCACTCCATCACTGTCTTGCCAGAAGGGTGCTTTACACTACAGATTTTAAACTGCAACATTAACACCCCTCCTTCAGAGTGCTGGCACTGTACTTCCCATCTCAAGGACTCAAGTCCGGCCTGCCGGTTTCCCTGAATCCCTTCATAAATGTTACTTTGCTCACACTCCAACAGCACGTCAAGTATTAAAAACCATTTGTCTCCATTCATTCCTATCAAACACGCTCACGTATGCCTGCTGGAAGTCCAAGCCCCTCGCACACAAAACCTCCTTTACCCCCTCCCTCCAACCTTTCCTAGGCCGACCCCTACCCCGCCTTCCTTCCATTACAGACTGATACACTCTTGAAGTCATTCTGTTTCGCTCCATTCTCTCTACATGTCCGAACCACCTCAACAACCCTTCCTCAGCCCCCTGGACAACAGTTTTGGTAATCCCACACCTCCTCCTAACTTCCAAACTACGAATTCTCTGCATTATATTCACACCACACATTGCCCTCAAACATGACATCTCCACTGCCTTTTCTGTATGTAAATCTATATTTAATCTGTAAAAAAATTATTTTTTGTTAATAATTTTGGGTGTCTGAAATGGATTAATTGGATTTACATTATTTCTTATGGGGAAAATGGTCTTGGTTCTCATGAATTTTGGTTTTCGGCAGACTCTCTGGAACGGAATAATCACGAAAACCAAGGGTCCACTGTACTTGAGAGGCTCGTGATGGTAGCAAATACAGCTGTTACTGTAGGGTTACAACTCTAGGACAACAAAAAACAAGACTTCAACCAAGCTGGAAACTGAAAAGGAGGGGAGATCCAAAATCTGGTGATTTAGATGGTATAACAGGTAGGTTGCATTCCTAATAATTCATCAGAAAAAATGCAAATATTACATGAGATATGCATTAAAACTGCTGTACTATATTTCAAATACCAAAAGCTGCTATGACTTTTCAGCAAACAGATGGAAAAATACAATAGGAAATTAATACCTATATGCTTTTTCACACTGGTGCTTGCGTCCATTGAAATGATGTCGAAGCTTGTACCGAAGTTGAATGAATTCCCGAGTAGATTCATCTGACCCTGGAAAATTTTAAGTTTAGTTGCATACAGATAGAAGTTTCTCACAGGATAAGCAAATGCGCCAAGTTAAATAATTTAAAAGGTGAACACTAAATTAAATGTTATCTGGATGAATCATTGTCAGTATTTTGCAATTTTTATGCTGTACTGTACTGTAATACATTATTATGGGCTTCTACAAATTTGTGACGGAATTTCTTCCTACTTTTTGCAATCCATTTCAAGGGAAAAAAGCTTTGTTATCCATTCATTATTGATACTGTGCATATTACTGTATTTCAAAAATAAAGAAAAGACTGATCTAAAAAAGTGTTAAGAAACCATTCTCCCCAAAATGCCATAACTGTCCCATTTCATCAATTATTATTAAAGCTATTTAATATCTCAAAGTGATTTACTGAAAAGCATAATTAAAGGAAGAAACAGCAATCAGATGCATGACCAAGCAAATCATTAAGATGGGTGAATAAGAATAGTTACTACTATTGATATACTGTACCTCAGAACAGTTTTAAAAGTTTACCTACTCCTGCAGCCCAGCCCTGGGAAAGGCTTGCCACATTACGATTCAATTTTTCCTCTGTAATAATCCACTTTAAGAAGTCAGATAGTTTTCTATTTATAATTGCTCTATGGGCATCAGCATGATCAGACTGTGATCATGAAGTACACAATCTATGCGATCAATGCTCCACACACTGACATGACCTATGTAACTGGGAATCACACCAAGGGGTAAATTCACGAATCAATATCCTTTTAGGGATCAAAGGACAGAACTTACTAGTCACCTCCACAAACACATTGTCAAGAATATTTGGTATCTTGTCAACAGATGGTGCAGATGCAAGCACCTTATCCAAGGCATCTCTCACCATCATGCCAACATGGTCCACATAAAGATTTCTATAATTACAAAGGTAGTATGTGTCATACACAAATAACCCGCACATTCAAATTCAAATTCAAAGTTTATTCTCTATAAGGATTACAATGCTGAGTTTACAGAATTTGGTTATTGTGTGGTTTACATGTAGTAAAATAATAATTACAGAGTGTACCACTAGAACACCTAGCATGGCTAGGCACTTCGGGCAGACTTAAATTAAATCTTAAGTTTAAAATATTACAAAATTATGAGGTAAGTTGGTATTATGGCTAAGTGACTAAATACTAGTTTGTGAGTTTAGCAATGTGAATGCTTTTGTTTTGGCACTATACATAGTTTCAGTACTGGAGTATCACAGGCCAACTTATGACTAGTTAAGATTCATTATTTTGAGATTGAGATTGATATTTCTGTTTATGGTCAAATGGGTGAGTGAGTGTAAGTGTTAACCACCAGGTGGTATTCGTGTAATAGTTGACAGGGTGTATCAGGGAGATAAGATGTTTTTCTGATGGTAGTTTTGAAGGTGATGAATGTGTCTGCAGTTTTAGAATTTTCAGGTAGGGTGTTCCAGATTTTAGGGCCTTTGACATACATTGAATTTTTGTAAAGGTTTAGTCGGACACGGGGAATGTCATAGAGATGTTTGTGTCTGGTGTTGTGCCTGTGGGTTCTGTCACAACTATCAAGAAAGCATTTTAGGTCAAGGTTAATATTGGAATTTAAGGTCCTGAAGATGTAGACTGCACAGTAGTAAGTGTGGATGTACTGAACAGGGAGTAAGTTTAGATCTATGAAGAGTGGGGGGGTGTGTTGCCAGGGATGGGATTTAGTGATTATTCTTACTGCGGCTTTTTGTTGGGTTATTATTGGCTTTAGGTGTGTTGCTGCAGTTGAACCCCAAGCACAGACAGCATAGGTGAGGTATGGATAAACAAGTGAATGGTATAGTGTGAGAAGGGCAGTTTGCGGCACGTAGTATCGTATCTTGGAGAGGATCCCAACCGTTTTGGATACTTTTTTGGTTATGTGTTGGATATGGGTGCTGAAGTTCAGGTTGTTGTCGAGGTATAGGCCTAGGAATTTGCCCTCATTATGCCTGGCAATTAGAGTGTTGTCGATCTTAATTTGCGCATCTCCTGCTCTGCTACCAAACATAATGTAGTAGGTTTTGTCAGTGTTAGGCGTAAGTTTATTGGCTGTCATCCACGTCGATATTTTGATCAGCTCTTCATTAACAATGGTGTTGAGGGTGGCAAGATTAGGGTGAGAGTTGACATAAGTCGTGTCGTCAGCAAAGAGAATGGGGTTCAGGTGTTGAGATACGTTTGGAAGAGCTTACGACGACATTTCGGTCCGACTTGGACCATTTACAAAGTCACACTAACGAGAAGTGGAGCAGGACGGGTATATATAGGCGGCGGCGGCGGCAGCGGCAGCGGCAGCGGCAGCAGCAGCAGCAGCAGCAGCAGGGAATTGAGGAGGAGGAGGAGCCAGTCAAATACAAAGAAAGGGGAGCACTGTAAGGGAGCTAGGTGCCCACAGAGGTAGAGCAAGTACACAGAGGTGGGGGGAAGGGGAAGTAATGAAATAAATAATGAAGGAACAGAAACACAAGACAGAAGAAAGAAAGACAACCTAGAAGAGAAAAGAAAAAAAGGTGTGACTTTGTAAATGGTCCAAGTCAGACCGAAACGTCGTCGTAAGCTCCTCCCTTCTATGTGCGGGTTATTTGTGTATAGTTCCAGTCACGGTATTGTGCCTTTTATTGTTATTTATAGTATGTGTCCTCACATTTTGATCACAAACAACATTATCATATAACAGTAAACTCTGAATAAAGCAGACCCTGATACAACAGACTTTTAAAATTACAGTGGACCCCCGGTTTACGATCAGCTCCCAACACGACCATTTATGTAAGTGTATTTATGTAAGTGCGTTTGTATGTGTATGTTTGGGGGTCTGAAATGGACTAATCTAATTCACAATATTCCTTATGGGAATAAATTCAGTCAGTACTGGCACCTGAACATACTTCTGGAATGAAAAAATATCGTAAACCGGGGGTCCACTGTATAGGTGAAACCCAATGGGTAAACTGCACTTTTAACTTTTCAATATTTCTTGCAGAATATCTGTAAATTATGTGTTAAGTTTATAAGGCATATAACAGAATATTTTAGTGTATTTTATTACTATTTTTTAATGTTATTCAGACATAATAGATGCCCCCTATTAGTCCATTCTATCTTCAATGCTCCAAGAATCAGCAGTAGGCAAGACATAGCTATGGCCACCAATGTGGATGGGTGACAACACATTCTCAAAATTATTCAAATTTATAGCTTGCATTATGGACAATCAATCCAGTATAGTTACCACACACACAAGTTGATGATTGCTCTTTGCAAAGGATTCAATGAGAAATCCAAATTCATCAAGAAGCAAGGAAATCCGAGCCATCAGTGCCAGCGTTACCCAAAACCTGTTGTAAACCCTTACACCTTTTCAAGCCAACATATATACTTATACAGTAAACAGTTGATACAACAGACTAATAGGGGGGACTCTTCAAATGTCCATTAACCCTTTGAGGGTCGACAGGCCCTCTCCAAGACTCGTTCTCAGGGTCTAACAAATTTAAAAAAAAAAAAAATTATTTTTTCTTATGAAAAGATAGAGAATCTTTTCCCAATCATAATGACACCAAAAGTATGAAATTTTATGGAAAACTTACGGCATTATGCTCTCGCGAAGTTAGCGGTCTCGACGATGTTTACGCATCGGCGATTTTGCCCACTTTGAGCCCTATTTTCGGCCAATTCCAGTGTACTAGTCGACAGAAATCATAACTATTTCTCTAGAACTCTATTTTTTCTATTGAATGAGTACAAGAAACCACCCATTTACTGATTTCAACTATCCAATACAGTGGTCAGAATTTAGCAATTTTGCCAATTTCACACAAATTTCAAAAGATGCCAATTTCCAAATAGGGTCCAGAATAAACAAGAAAGACATTCCTGGCACTAAAATAACATTTCCTCTGTTCGTTAGTCACATCCCCAGGCCCCTCTTATATTTCTTTGGCTTTCCACTTTCAATTTTTATTCTTACAAAAAATAGAAGATTTACTGTTATGCAGACTGCTGCATTAGTGTAGAAATGGTATAAATAATATCAGCGCACTTGTGAAAGAATATTAGACTCACCAGTTGATGTGTATTGGACGCTTGGCATGATTTGTTTACTTTTGAACTTTGGTAAAAATCGAACATTTCTGCTACTCTGAGCTCAATTTCAAGGTACTTTTCATTGTAAAAACCAGTCAAAATCATCTCAATTTCTGTAATATGTCTTCCATTCTATAAAATGAAACCAAGAAAACTAGAATACACCTACCATCCGACTTACGACCTGCTCGACTTACGACCACTCGACTTAAGACCGTGTTTTTTATGCCAAATTTCTGGGAAATAAACAACTATTTGTGTTGTACACAGTGTTTATCCTAAACCTTACAGTATAAAATACAATACTAACAACATAAAAAGTAAAGTAAAACACGAAATACCAAAATAAAACAATAAAATAAAGTCATTACAAAAATGTTTTGTTGATATTCAGTAGTAAAGTTTGACTTACGACCATTTCGACTTACGACCGGTTTCTCGGAACTGAACTCGGTCGTAAGTCGGATGGTAGGTGTACAACAATAAATACCATACGAAAATACAGTGCAAAGCCGCTGTTTTATTCCAAAAACACGGTCAAAGATTTTTTTCTCTCATTATGCACTGTGTGCTGCAGGATTTTTTTATACTGCACACACTGACAACATAGACCCATTCTTTCATATGTATGCCAACCAGTTTTCTCCCACTAGATTTGAGGGCGTTAGAATTTAGGCGTACTAGTACGTCAAAAACCCTGGGTCGTAAGCCGTACTAGTACGGCTGAAACCCTCAAAGGGTTAAATTAGAATAATGTTAAAAAATAGCAAAAGAATGCACTAACATACTCTAATGCATATTTAATAATATAGTGCTGTACACAAAATTTATAGATTTAATGCAATATAAGAAATTTAACCAGTAGATTTTACCCATAAT